TTAACAACTCCCGAAAAGTGAGAAATAATTTCTATAGTTTTTACACTTATATGGCCTCGGTCAGTGGCAATAACAAGAGGGTAGTTTGGAGGAGGGCTTTATTTAGCTCTCATATAAACATCATCAACCTCCCATCATAACTACCCCAAATAGAATGCAACCTGAGTAAAACACTGTGTACGCTATTCAAACTCAACTTCAAAACAAGTCCCTGGGCTGCTCCTTCCAGCAGACTACTGTCTGGAAGCTTCGACCCTGAAGGTCTAGAGACGTTGTTGGTCCTAATATCGGTGTGGTTATATCTTCATGATTACCATCATTCTGCTTTTTAAATTTTTGTGTGGGGAGCCTACACACAAAAAATAAAACATAAAACAAGCCATTTTGCACAAAGTTGTTCACTTGCACAAAAGTGCTAGACCAGCGGCCTGCGCTGTGTGATCGTGGTTGAGCTGCATGATTGTTCTGGGCCTCAGTGTCTCCACATGTAAAATGAAGGACTTGAAAGGGCTGATCTCAGAAATCTTTTGTAATGCTCAGAGCCTCAGATTCCTGGCTTCATCAAATACCTAAATCTGGATGACTTATCGACACCTGCTACTGATTCAGTATGTTTGGGTGTGTTTTTATTATCTTTAGCCATTTTTCTCTGGAGCAAGTGAGAAACCCTTCCAGAGCAGGACAAGTGTGAAGAATGGAGCTTGGGAGCTCCTGGTGCCAAGAGAGAGTCTCTTGCTCTGCCCACAGGGAACTTTACCCTTCCGCCACCAAATCATAAGTGTCTGGGGCAGAGACAGCCTGCAGACTGGCACACCCAGTGGGAGAAGCTGAGGGAGTGATTTAAAGAAGACCACTGAGGCTTACCTCAAGCTTCACTTTCAAACTTCTTTACTCAAGCACACAGTGGAAACAAAAGGAAATGTTTCTTTCCTGTTTTTTTTTTTTTTTTTTTGAGACAGAGTCTCACTCTGTCACCCAGGGCTTGTTGGTCCTAATATCGCGTGTGTTATATCTTCATGATTACCATCATTCTGCTTTTTAAATTTTGCACAAAGTTTGTCACTTGCGACAAAGTGCTAGGACCAGCGGCCTGCGCTGTGTGATCGTGGTTGAGCCTGCATGATTGTTCTGGGGCCTCAGTGTCTCCACATGTAAAATGAAGGGACTTGAAAGGGCTGATCTCAGAAATCCTTTTGTAATGCTCAGAGCCTCAGATTCCTGGCTTCATCAAATACCTAAATCTGGATGACTTATCGACACCTGCTACTGATTCAGTATGTTTGAGTGTGTTTTTATTATCTTTAGCCATTTTTCTCCGGAGCAAGTGAGAAACGCTTCCAGAGCAGGACAAGTGTGAAGAATGGAGCTTAGGAGCTCCTGGTGCCAAGAGAGTCTCTTGCTCTGCCCACAGGGAACTTTACCCTTCCGCCACCAAATCATAAGTGTCTGGGGCAGAGACAGCCTGCAGAGTGGCACACCCAGTGGGAGAAGCTGAGGGAGTGATTTAAAGAAGACCACTGAGGCTTACCTCAAGCTTCACTTTCAAACTTCTTTAGTCAAGCACACAGTGGAAACAAAAGGAAATGTTTCTTTCCTGGTTTTTTTTTTTTTTGAGACAGAGTCTCACTCTGTCACCCAGGCTGGAGTGTAGTAGCATCAGCCTAGCTCACAGCAACCTCAAACTCCTGGGCTCAAGTGATCCTCCTCCCTCAGACTCCTGGGACTACAGGCATGCACCACCATGCCCGGCTAATTTTTTCTATATATTTTTAGTTGTCCAGCCAATTTCTTTCTATTTTTTTTTTTTAGTAGAGATGGGGATCTCCCTCTTGCTCAGGCTGGGTTCGAACTCCTGACCTTGAGCGATCCTCCTGCCTCGGTCTCCCAGAGTGCTAGGATTACAGACGTGAGCCACCACATCGGGCCTAGGGAAATGTTTCTGAAAGAAAGTTCTTGGCTATGTTTTTTGCTCACAAAAGGGACTTTTCGGGAGAAGGGGGAGGTAGTGCAAAACAAAGAAGCAAACAAAGGACTTGGAACAGTCTACAAGAAGACCCCTCTTGTGCTCAGAAGTGCGGGTCCTTTATGAGCTGCAGCCCACTGTCCCCTGCAGGTGCTGCGACACACAGAGCAGAGCGTCGGGGCCCTGGCGGAGTCCCAGAGAGGCGGTGGCCGCGGGGCCGTGGGCCATGGGCCACGCTGGGGAGGGCTCCCTGGCCACTGGGCCTGCGGGAAAGAAAGCCTCAGTGTCAGCCTCCTGCCAGCTCCCATAAGTAGATCTAATTATGACCGCTTACTTCAAAAAGAGGATTTAACCCAAAGCAGATTTAGCAGGGCAGTTTCCAAAGGGCGGCAGGAATCTGAAGCTTGACCTTTGAAAAATCCTAAAGACTTCACTGCCCCAGGAATTCGGCCAGCCAGTCACGGTGGACGCCTCAGAGGGCAGAGAAATTCAGAGCCGCCAACTTAAGTGATCAGGGTCTTCGCGGGGATGTTTAATTTAGAATAAAGTGCCTGTCAGAGTGTGTCCACGGCGTGTGCACTGGTGGTCAGTCAGGGTAGTGAGCTGAGAAAAAACATCGATGGCAAACAAACAGACAAAAAGTTTAAGCATTAAAGTATAACCTGTGCCATCAAAAATTATTTTAAAACCATGAAGTGGTTTGAAAATTAAGCCAGAGTTCAAAGGTCTGTTAGTGAATTGTTATCTAAATCATGAAAGTTTGGTGACATATGCCAGTAGTGCTGATCGAAGTATCAAAAGCATGTTAAGGTGATTAAAAACATTTTTTTTAACTTTGATTTTTAAAACTTTCTACATAGCACTTTGCTCAGGAGAAGCTGTTGTAGTTGTTTTAATAAAATTAAGCAACTTCAGAAAGAGAGCATTGGAGTTGTTCATCTAGAGTTGACCAACGTGAACCTAGTGGATAAACACATCTGGCATAGTTGTTGTGTAACGAATATGAGTACTCTGTGAACTGTAACCCTCTCTGTTGTACGTGATTATTCCAACTATTCTCCTAGAACACAAAACTTAGGAAAACAAAAAAGAAAGAAAAAGAAACAGCCTGGATCAGTACAGTCAGTCCATCCACATGCCTCAATTAAACCAACAACTCTGTAAGCGATCTCGTGTCAACTCAGGCATTTAGCTCAGGTGGGAAACTACAGAAAAAAGACAAACAACTGGTTCTAAATCAAATAAGTTACAAAGAAAACCAAAAAAAAAATTCACACAGGTGCTCTTTAAAATAATTTGATTTCAGATATTTTAAAAAGTCAGTATCAAGCTGCTACTTTTTTACCTGACCACATTCTAACACAGGGCACCTAACCAGATGATTGTTGTAGACATAGTCCTGTACTGCATAATGACGTTTTCATCCACAAAGGCCGTAAGATTATAATGCTGTATTTTTACTGTGCCTTTGATGTGTTTAAATATGTTTAGATACACAAATAGTTAACACTGTGTTACAATTACCTACAAGTCAGTAGAGTAACATGCTGTACATGTTTGTAGCCTAGGACTGATAGGCTATCCCATCTAGCCTAGGTAAATAAATAGTAGGCTATACCACCTCGGTTTGTCTTAAGTATGCTTTATAATGCTTGCACAAGGATGAAAACACCTATTGATGAATTTCTTAGACCGTATCCCAGCTGTTAAGCGATGAATGACTGTATATGTAATCAATACTATTCTTAGAACCTTGTTTGAAATATTTGTAGCTTGAGATTGGGAAGTTCTCAGAGATTAAGAAGGTAGGGTTTATTCACACTGGTTACCCTAAAATGTCAAATCAGATTGTCTATTTGTTCAAACATGAAGCTGGTAAACTTTAGCCAATAGGAGCTTAAGATAAGCATAAAGAAAGCATAAATTAGGGATATATTACAGACCACTTCAGCCATTGTTCTACTTTCCATTTCTTCTTCCTTGAGGGATATGCCAAGTCCAATAATAAGTAAACATTACCAATAATTTTTGAAAATGTTGAACATAAGCTTGTTCTGTTTCATGCTTTTATTTACTCTTCTTGTGATAGTTTTTTCTAGTATGTAAACTAATCTGAGAAAACCAGAGCTCTGTCTGTAACTGAATCAATAATAAAGTTGGATAACTGTTCCCTAGTGGCTCTCAATTTGCAAGTCCTAAACACGAAAGCAGACCTGCTTGGTAACGCAAAGCATCAGGATTCAATGTCATTTGTTTCCAAGACTGAAATTCACAGACATAACCATTCAGCTGAAAGAAAAGAAGGGAAAAAATAATTTTAAACATACTAGAAAAAAACTAGATAGTACAGAAGAGTTAATAACAAAGCTCTTCAATTTGAGGCCTCTGCTTCAAATGTGGCAATCCCTGCTCTGAGAAAACTAAATAGTTGCAATAAATACTGAGGTTCAACACACTCAGGTTTTGTTTGGTTTAGTTTGGTTTGGTTATTATTTTATACTGAGTTCTGAGAGTTATGCAACTCTTTGAAAGTTAAGCAGATGGTTCTAGTCATTAAATAATTTCTACTCAACTAAATATTAACATTTTCTACACTGGTATTAAAAATGAATAGGATTCACTTATAATGGCTAAGTTTAAGAATTTGCCTTCCTGAAAACTGGATTTCAACTCCAAAGAGAAAAGCTAGGTTATTTCAAATAGAAGGCAATCAGTAAAGGCTTTTCAAATGTAGGTGCTTCATGGATCAAGTTCAAATTTAAACTCCCTAGGTTTCTTTCCAGCTGTAAGGTTTTATGACTTTTAACATCCTTGTTGGAATATTTCACCCTACTTATATGCACTCCCAAACATATTCATGTAATAGTCTCAGGTAAGGTTTATCTCACTCTCTATGGTCACAAGCCATTTAGAAACCAGAACTAGATCCTGGATACCTGTCTGTGTTGCCCCTGGACAGAAGAATGATCCCTGATGGGAGGGACAGACATGGATGCTGCAGACATCCAGGTGTGCCCAGGGGTGTGTGCGCAATTACCTCTCCCTCTCCTGCTCCAGCAGGTTGGTGAAGTCGTCGCTCTTGTTCATGTAGTCGGTGTGCTTATGCTTCTCGTTCTCTAACTCGTACACGGTGCGCCTGTGACACTTCTCTGCCAGCAGCAGCTGCTCCAGCATGCGCCGGTAGGTTTCTTTCTGTTTTTCCTCAAGTCTGTCCAGCTGAATAAGCAAACACAGGAAAGAGCTTGATATTTTATTTCATTTGCATATGACTCTAAATAATTTGCCTACATTGTTCTAGTGACTTATTACCTGAAGGAGAGAATAGTGAGTCTGGTATTCACTGCCATTTTCCCCATCCCATCATTATTCTCTGTGCTGATCGGCTTTATAAATTAGCCATCATAACACTGCAGTAACTTCTGGCCTTCTGGCCTTTTCTTTGTTTTCTGTAAACATATGTATAGCTCCTAAACGTTCAGGAGAACAAACTCTTTTATGGTTTTAATGAGAAAGCACAAAGCCCTATACGCAGAGAGAAAGAGGATAACATCTCTTCTGATCTCAGAAAAAATAAGATCTCAGCATGTACATACACCAAACTTCTCCTCTGGGAAGCAATTATCATCATTACAATCTTTTTTGTAGAGCTTGTAGCTATATCCATTTCTAGGAAATGTATAAGAAGCATCCAAAGTCCTCTTTTTTCAAGAGATGCTAAATATAGGAAGGATTTAAAAATTTGTAGAGAATCTATATCTCTAAAAGAGGTCTTATCAAATATTACAGGGTGTTTTTTGTGCTTCTTTCTCTGGCCAGGCTATAAGATTTTCAAGGGATCATGTCTTGATCATCTTTTTAGTCCTTAGTGCCTAGCACAGGGCCTAGAACAAAGAAGATGTTCAGTAAATGTTGGTTAAATTGGACCAAATCTCACAATGTTGATATTTTCCCATCCTGCTCACTATCTTACTCTCCCTTTCAAACTCTAGTCCAGGATTTCTCAACGTTGGCACTGCTGAGGCCAGGTGATTCTTTGTTGTGGGGTGCTGTGCAGTGGAGGATGTTTGGCAGCATCCCTAGCCTCTGCCCACCAGATGCCAGTAGTACCACCCTTAGTTGTAACAATCAAACTATCCCAAATTGCCAAATGTCCCCTGGAAGGAAAAATCCACCACCACCGCAGTTGAGAACCACTTCTGCCTATTTCTTCACTCTCTCCCCCATTCCTCCCTAAGAAAGGAGAGGTGACTTATTTGAAGTCTGTACTTGGATTGGGAACGGGAAATGTGCAGCTCAACTTTTTAATTTCCTATTTTTTACTCTGCCTGCCATAGGATGACACATTGTGACATCTTTCCCAGGATTTCCTAATATATCCAAAGAATTTTTAAGGGAAAGTGATGGTGTTATTAATTGAATGGTTGACTGAGAAATCCAAAAATGATAGTCATTGCATGTATATCTGCAGGAAAAAACCCCCAGCACATGGTAATATCTAGTGTTCTGGGGCAGCCTAGGCAGGAGGTAGACCTTAGCCTTAATACATTTTGTCCATATGGGCCTTCAAAACTGGTTGTTCACAGTAGATACAGTCCTGGGCAAGGCCACTGAAGTAGGTTGCTGGCGTCTTTGTGGGTAATGTTCATGTCATTCCTGCTAGCACAACTCAACCCCAATAGAAATTCCATTTCAAGAAGGCAGTCTTTTCATCTCTTATCGTATAAATCACTAAATGCATTGGTGTGATTAGTATGTTTCTTAGGCAGAACTGCAGATCCAGACTTTAAACTATAGAGGCAATAAATTCTTCTGCTATAAAGCATGAGTGTGTGACGATCTAGTTTTCAATTTTCAATTTTGGATATAAGAACTAACATAAGTAGCAATAGGTCATCTCTGCCACATGCTGCTTCTTATTATTTTGTTTGGAACTACATCCAACTCCTAGGTGAGAACTGAGGTGACCTATCTTCTTGGATCTTTGTGGCTTGTCCAGAGACTCTGAAGACCACCTGCCATAACTATGAATTCTGTAGATTCATTAATCATATATTTTGTGTACATGGGCCTTTGGTTTTCAGTATCCAATCTGTGGCTCAATATTAAGGAATGGCTTTTATTAATGAATAGTGAAAGTGGAATAGGCACCTATTATTATACTTTGGAAACATAGATTCTACTTGGACCTAGGCAGAAGGAAAATTGAATGAGATCATCATAACGTCAAAGGCCAAAAATTTACTAAGGAAAGAATGTACCTGGAAGTCTTATCCTAATGTATCAGGTTGGTAGAAAAGTACAAGAACTTGAGATGAGAAGACATTTAAGTACATTTTAGATAAAAAAAGATCATGGTTCAGGAGGTAGTTTTAGTGCTGTTGCCTACAGAGGGCTAATTGAAGCAGTATTAAGGAATTGAGGAAGAGAGAAATCTACTTAAGAGGAAATATGAGGTCTTAAAGACCAAACTGGATTTACACAAAAGAGGAATGGATCTAAGTGCTCTAAAAAAAATAGGGCTATTAAAAAAGGAGGTATTTTGGTCCTTGTTAAATCATAATGGGTGCCCAAAGAAGATAGAGACATGAGAGCACAGAGAACACAGCAGTGTTACTCCTTCCACAAAGAAGGTGTTGGGATTCAGGAAAGAAGTGAGGAACACACTGTAAATCTGCAGATAGTCTTTCATGAGATCAACTGGGGGCCCTTCCCTTGAAGACTGTAGCATGTATTCAAAGTGGTTATGTAAAATATGAACACACTTAAGAATTATAATCTGGAAAGATCAGGGTAAGATATTTGAAGCATAATTTGTTGAATTTCAGGGTCTCGGCTATGATAGATGGAGTTGCCAGTATTGCCTGGGCCCTTAGTGAACACACTTAAGAAGCTTTCAGATGTAATGTTTGAAGAAATGATGAGAGAAACGAAAGAGGAATCAGGCAGGACAACAGCAGATAAGTGCAGACATGGATGTAGTGTGATGGAAAATACCCCTTAGTGAGGATTATCCAATTCCAACTCAAGGACAGGAAAGTAGGTAGGATTTATGTTAAATAAAGAACACTTTGGGCAGACTCAGAGCTCCTTGATTTTCATGTCTCCCACTGGGGGAGACCACACAACATAGAATATGGAAGGCAATATTACAAGAACAAATGTCTCTGGGTCTGAAAGCATAGGGGAAACAGAAGCGAAAGAATAAGTCAAAAAACTCTGAGATCATAGAATAATAGTAAAGAAAAGGACCACTTGAAGAAACTGGTTAAAATGCTAAAATAGCAAGGCAGCTGAGGCTTCCTACTACAAAAAAAAATTGTGGCAGAAGAAAATATTTTTGTTGCCTTGAGTTGGACAAGGATCCGAAAGTTCATACATGAGGGATGGCTAAGTTTTAAGGAATAATGGCACCTGGAGAAGGTATTATCCCTTGTAGGCTCCAAATCACACAGGCTTCAGTAGAGCTACCTTATGAAGAGATGTGTTTCCTAGGCCTGGGCAAAGGGCTGATAAAAGAAGAGGATGGAAGGAGTTTTAAATATGCAGGTGCGAAAGTTGAGCACCTACAATGAGACCTAAGCACTGAGGAAGTCACCACTGCAAATCCCCAGACTTTGCAAAAAGACAGGTGTGTATCCAGTGGCACTCACTGAAGGCAAAGACAGTACATGCAAACAGGCTCCTCTGCCCAACCTAGAGTTCACTGTTTCCCAGAGTTATTAACCTCTGATGGTAACAGGCTTTGTCTTATGTGCACAACTGCTCCAGACTGACCACAATTCTGCTGTAGCTGAAGATTTTCTCTATCTACCTGCCTTCCCTTGGACATGCTCCAAGTCTTTGCTTTAATGTGTAGGAGTAACATGAGCCTGCATTATACTGAGTCCTAAGGTTAAGGAATAAAATTTTGCTTGAGGTAAATTGATCTTGGAGTTGTAAACTTTCTTATATTCTTTCAATTTGTGAGTGTGACATTAGTACTATGATAATTGCCATGTGTCCCAATAATTCTTTGGATTTTTTGAAAAAACTAGAATCTAGGGAATTGGGATTTCAAGATGTATTAACTGAATTGGGATTTCAGGATGCAACTCTGAAAATGCTAATGAGTCCAGGTCATTTTACTAAAGGGGAAAAACAAAAACAATCTCTACCCAGACAACCAATTGAGATCCCTCTGGCTAAGGTTGAACAGAATAAGATATTAGGAAGGAAATAAATAGAAACCTTAATACTTTTTTTGGAATTTTTCTTAAAAATTATAAACTTTGATATTCTAGGCTTTAATTTCCAAGTAAGTGCAGGGGAATTTAATATTTGCTGTTTAGTTTCTCCCCAGATATTTGGCAAGAGCAAGAGGTCCACCATATCAGGTTTACTGCTTAACTTCTGGTGAGTTTTATTGGATAACCTACCTGAGCCTAATTTTGTATAGAGATTGGAATGGCTGGTGATTTTTGGCTTAAGGTACGACATGGCTTCTAGGAACAAGAGCTAGAATACTTGCTCATAACCCTAAGTGACTAATGAAACAGTTATATATTGGGGTTCCTGTCTCATGAATTTGAAAGCAGTACTGCTGCTCCTAGGTAAGAAGACTTGATGTTAATCCCAAAGAGTTAAGAGACCAAAAATCTATACATTGTGGAAGAAAATCTTTTCTCCTCTATTATTCTATTTCTCTCATAAAGCAGGACTTCATTTTGGCAGTATTGGGGTAAGTATTAATCGTCTTTGTCCTTCTTTCCCCACCTCCTCATTCATTTTCCCCTAAGGGAGGAATGACTCTTCATATTGTTGAGGCAAGAAGAGAAACAAACGAAGAAGTGTGCCCAGCTTAGCCAATTCCAGAAGGACAATTCACAGAATAAGTGCTTTCTGCTCTGCTCCTTCGTCTACAAGGCAGGAATACTCGGATCAGGCCTAATTTTGTCTTTTTTTTTTTTTTTGAGACAGAGTCTCATTGTGTTGTCCGGGCTAGAGTACCGTGGCATCAGCTTAGCTCACAGCAACCTCAAACTCCTGGGCTCAAGCAATCCTTCTGTCTCAGCCTCCCGAGGAGCTGGGACTACAATCATGCACCACCATGCCCAGCTAATTTTTTCTCTATATATTTTTAGTTGGCCAATTAATTTCTTTCTATTTTTAGTAGAGATGGGGTCTAGCTCTTGCTTATACAGGTTTCAAACTCCTAACCTTGAGTGATCCGCCGGCCTCGGCCTCCCAGGATGCTAGGATTACAGGCATAAGCCCAGCCTCCAGGCCTACTTTCTGAAGGCAAGTCAGAAACTGCTTTCTCTGTGTTCTGTCCATAGAACTCAGTGGATTGGAGGCAGTGATTCTGGGTAAGTGTGTCTGCTCTACAGGCCTACCTCTCCCTTGGGATTATCTCAAGCCCTAGACTTGGGAAAAAGAATTAGGAATCCCAAATGAAACCATTTATCTGAGCTGAGTTCTCCGATCCAAGTTATCATTATTATTAAAAAAAAAATGTTTGTGACCTCCATATGTGCTTTACTCCTCAAATCTTCCCAAGTATGGAACCAATTAAGGGTATGAGCAATTATCATCCTCGAATTTCAGCAAATACTCAGCTAATATTTGTTGAGTGCCTAGTATGTTCCAGATACTATGTTAATAGTTTTATAGGCATTGCTTCATTAAATACCCACAACAGTTCTATGAAGTATACACATTGTGGTTACTCCCACCTCACAAATAAAGAAATTGAAGTTTCAAGAACTTATGTGATCTGACTAAAACCATATACAGCCAGTAGTGGGGGAACTCAGACATAAAAGTAGATCCAGCCTGTTGACTACATCCTGCCATATAATCATCTCTTAACATTTTAAGAAATGATGAGAATAGAGCTCCAGTTTTTCCTTGTTGCAAAAACTAGAAAATTATAGGACCATCAATCTGTATTGTGAATGCCGTCTAAAGCAGATCTTCTCTCTGAAATCTGCCAATCTGTCAAACTGAACTTCTCCAAAAGCAAGACGTAGTTAAAAGTTAAATCTGTCCATTCATGATACTAATTTCACATCTATAAATATTTTTACATGAATCCCAAAGAGTCAATATGGCTAGATCCATAAACTGGTACCCTAATTTGGCATTGAACTTGTACTACAATGTGATAGTATTTTAAGACGTGGTATCATGGATAATTAATAATAATATTCAACAGTTCCTAATACAATCTTATATAAAATAATTAAATATAGCTCTATTAGAATTCTTTTCATCTTAAAGAATATTCCTAAGCATTTCATTCAGATTTTGCCTCAATCATTATATTTTAGCTATTCATATAAGACCATTTTAATTATGATGGAGGCTAGAAAATACCAAAAACCAGTGGCTCTGTAACCATTAATATCAATAATAAAATCAATTTAATTTTAGGTTACTAATTTGATAATAATCCAAACAACTTAATGTCAAAATTGGTAAACATTTCAAAATTTCACACACATCATTTCTTAGAGAAGTAAAAGAGTAATATGTATAACTATCATATCACATGGAAAAATATATTTCTGGCTCTAAGTATATTTAAGGAAAAGCTTCTAAAATTCTTGTAATTGAAATTTATCCATTATAACCCTTGAATTATTTAATTATGCTTTAATTCTATATTAGTAAATAATAAAAATTTTGCCTTTGCAAGAAGTGTTAAAGCATGTAAATGGAAGAATGTGGAGATATTTCTGGGAGGCTCCCTTCTAGGGGAACATGTTGGCGGTATATTTTTACCTCTGAAATCGGTTTCTCATAGACGTCTTCTCCTATGGACTTCTCCTGGGCAAGGATGGCATCTCGGTGCAGGACCCGAAGCACTTTCTCTGGCTCTGCAGACCCGTAGTGAGCCTCCAGAACTTCAGGCTTGGTTTTCTCGGTCTTGAGCATGTGGATCACATCTTCTCTGGCCTGTGGTAGTAAGTGCAGAAAGGTCAGATGTTGACAATGTAAATCACATACTGGGCTCACAAGATCAACACGGAGCTTATTGAATACATCCTCACCTCTTCAGGGCTACTGGCAAATTCACTGGGTATTCTGTTCGTATTTTATTTTTTTTATCAAAAGCAGATTGGCAAGCAGATCCTCTGCTTCAGGTTGCTAGGAAGCAGGCAAGCAGGAAAGATGGTTTGTGCTAATATTAACTACATAAAAATTGCTTTATCTAAGCAGCAATTATTCAGCGGGTGGGTGGGTGGGAGGCAGGTAGAGCTGGTCCTGGGATACTCAACCCATTTCAGTGCACATGAGGTCAGTGACAGTCTAAAAATTGCTAGTTTTCTATTCATGCTCACAATGTAGTATTCAAATCTGGTTTAAAATAAAACCCTGCTGCCTCCATTCTAGTTACAACTTCATGTGCAATTAACAAACAGCCTTTATGGGTGATTTCCTGTTTCTCATCAAGTGACACATTTTGCATGGAAACATATGGTTGGGAACTCACATAGTGCTAGGCTGTCCTTTTCAATCTAATATGTATTCACAATAAAGGTGAAATTTTACCCCTTCAGCACCCACACTGTCAGTCAGATGAGTCAAGTTGGTGGATCGAAGTTGTTCTTTTGGTTTCTTAACACAACGTTAACATGGTGTTGAAGCTCTCAAGAAAACTGTGATTATAGGTTTTATATCATATTGTCTTTGGTTCTCATCACATATTGCAAATACATCTGGATGGTGTTTTGTGCTGATTAGCAGGGATGATCTTGCTAGTTATGATAGGGCTGACATTTGCTGAAGGTACACCCATCTGGGCACACACTTGGAGCTGTTTTTCCAGTAATGGTGGTGGGTAAGAAGTATCCTGACTTTATTCCAACTTGTACTAAAGAACAAACTGGTTGGGAGCACAGTTTCAGTCTGTACCAATGGAATAGAGTTTTCTCCTCTATTAATGCTAATTATGGGCTTCAAATTATAAATCTGGCTAATGGTATTCTAAAGAAGAAAGATAACTAGTCAAACACAAGTATTCACAGTATGACCATTATAAAGTTTGTCTTTCTTGAAGTTTATTCATTTTTATTGCTTTTTTAGTTTCTAAATTAATCTAATTCCAGATGGCTAAAGACTAATTTATTACTGAAACATCAATGAACATGAATTTGCAGATTTGCAGTGTCTCTGCCACATTTACATGTACTTATTTCCAGACAAAAATGAAAATTATTTATTTTTAACAGCCTAGAAGTTTGGAACGTTAGTGAGAAAAAGTCAGAAAGTATTTAGGTATTGGGCAGTGGGAGGGGGAGGGGGCTGGGTATATACATAATAAGAATGAAGTGGAATTTCACCATCTGGGGGATGGTCATGATGGAGACTCAGACTTTAGGGGAGGGAGAAAATGGGCATTTATTGAAACCTTAAATCTTACCCCATAATATGCCAAAATGAAAAAAAAAAAAGAAAGTAGTTTAATGGAAAGGCAATGTGTCTCTTACAAAAGGTGAAAGAAAATTAGCACAGATGCGTGTAGGCAGCCTGACACCATGCTAATTAAAACAACCACACTACTTCATCCAGGAGATATAGCCCTGATCAAAGAGCAGCTTACCTAGTGAGTGAATAGAGCTATATTTTATCTCCTGTCCATCCCTCTGCCAGGCACCTTTGTGCAAGGCACAACTCCGCATCTGCACTGAAGAGCCTTAAGTTACATACATTGCTATTGATCTTCAGGCAGGAAGCTCCTATTTCATCTGACAAGGGTGAATATAATAATTGCATCTTCATTTATTTATTATTTTTGAGACAGAGTCTCACTCTATTGCCCAGGCTAGAGTGCCGTGCATCAGCCTAGCTCACAGCAACCTCAAACTCCTGGGCTAAAGCGATCCTCCTGCCTCAGCCTCCAAGTAGCTTGGGACTACAAGCATGAGCCACCATGCCCGGCTCATTTTTCTATATATTTAGTTGTCCAGTAATTTAGTTTCTATTTTTAGTAGATACAGGGTCTCACTCTTGCTCAGGCTGGTCTCGAACTCCTGAGTCAAGCAATCCTCCCATCTCGGCCTCCAGAGTGCTAGGATACAGTGTGAGCCACGCACCTGGCCATCTCTAAAAATATTTCAAACCTGACTGTGTTGAATCACTGAAAACTTTAAAAAAATCCAATGCCCAGGACATTTCAGCCCGATTACACGCAAACATTTTAGGATGAACCCATGTGTCAGTAGTTTTAAGCTCCAGGTTATTCAGGGTTAGAGTAGTACTATGCCCACACTAATAGGGTCCGAGACACAGCAACCAAACGAATACATACGTCTGTGCATATCAATCTTAAATATCCACTTTGATGCAAGTTACATTGTCTATTTCCTCTTAGAAAGGAATTCATTCACCTTTCTGCTTTAATACCTCACACCTGAGATCAACCTTTTGCTTTAGCCAATGCTGAAGGAAACAATTCATCTTGAAAGAAGCAGCACAGGACTGTGAATATAGTGACTTATGTAATGACAAGGAAAGAAATTTAGAATCACATTTAAAAGTGAAAAATGGCGATGATAGAAGGTTGCAAGCTGGAGTCTGATAACAAACTACTGTCTCGTTGCCATCTTAAATCAGATGAAGTAAAGTTGTTTTTAAAGCTCACATTTTTATCATGTGAAATATAAAGACTTATGGGCCAGACATAGAATGTATTGTCCTATTACCACGTGACGAGGTTCAAAAAAAAGGATGTACGTCCTTTGAAAAATAAACAGAATTTTTAAATGTTAAAATAATAAGAGAATATACTTGTCATTTGTATAATACATTGAGATATCGATCAAAATGAATGTAATATTTTCAAATGGTCTTCTTCCCTGTTCTTTTAAACATATTACAGTGGATATTTAAGAAAAAGAATAGAATAAAAGCAGCATTCAAATTCTTCAAAAGAACGATTATAAAAGCTAAAATAGATTTGATCATATAGTCCTTGGGTAATTAAAAAAAATTCTAAAAGACTAAAAGAATGCTTAGAAGACAGACACAAAATATTTGGTATGAGATTAGGGTTTTTTAATCTCTTCTTTTTGCTTATTATAGGTATGTTATTTCTAAATTTCTACAGTGAATATAATTAATTTATAAAGAAAACTTATAAAGTTGTACTTTTGTAAAGGAAGAAATACTTTATTATTCCTATTTCACACACATGAAACAAAGGCAAATAATTTAATAGAAAGCTCTTTTCCATCTGCTCAATGGTGAGAAAAGCACTTCATCTCTAGTTATAGACAACCCTATGCACAAGTGTCTCTGGGATTTAACACAAAGGAAGATATAAAACAAAGATTGCCCAAAGATTCTTCTATACCTTCTTTGGGCACTGGCTTGATTCCTTTTAGAATTATTTCAAACACAGCAGTAAGCTAGAGGTAGAACAGCCACTGAGCTGGGTAGCAGTAATGAAAACAGGGTAGTATATAAGGATTATAGGTTTTCCCACCTAATATTTAGTCTGATTTATCACATACTGACAAGAGAGCTGAAGGAATCACAGCAGAACTATTTCCATATCGCATTTCTACAAATGACCTCCTGAAAAAGTGGTTGTCCCTAAATATGGATAAAAATAATCAGAAAGTGGCTCTCGAATATAAATTGTATAAAATAATCTTGAGAGCATAAATTTTACTGCTAGTTAGCACAAGTCTACATGACCTGAGCATAAAGAAAATCAAATAAATCTTAAAGCTATCAGGCACATAAGAATTTGAAATAAAACATGGAAATAAAATTCACATTATGGTGTAGTAGAATGAGCTCATTCTAATTTGAAGAAGTAGCTTTGAAGAGCTTTGAAGAGACTCAGAATTAGTTTCCAATCCTAGCTGTGCCATGTGACTTATGCAAACTGCTAACATTGCTTTGACTTAATTTTATCATCTATGAAACAGGATCATAATAACTTCCTTATATAATGTTGTTAGTTTGAAATCAGATATAAATATATAAAATGCCTAATTTAGAACTTGGCACACGGTAGGTGCTGAGTCAATAGTAACAATTTACTGTCGTTTCTGTTAGGTCTCTATCATTAGAAGACTTTTTGCTGCATGAGGAGAAAAGGAATTTTATAATATATTTTTTCCTAATCAAATATACATATAAGACTGATATAGTTTAACTGACGAGACATTTTACAACCTGCTCTTAAGAATATTTTTTCAGAAAAGAATTTTTAAATCAGAGCAGCCTCTTTCCAAAAGTTATTTAATCTCCCTGACTCAGTTTCCTTGTCTGTAAAATGGGGACACCAACTTCATAAGAGCTTTGTTAGGTTCTAACAAAATAATGCAAATGTAGTGCTTTTAAAACTGTAAATAGGGTCAGGTACGGTCTACCTGTAACCTCAGTACTTTGGTAGGCCAAGACAGGAAGATTACTTGAGGCTAGGAGTTCAAGACTAGCTGGGCAACAGTAGATAGATTCCCCCCCCCACAAACACACAAAAAGAAAAATTAGCCAAGTATGGTGGCATGCATCTGTAGCCTGTAGTCCTAGCTACGTGGGAGGCTAAGGGAGGAGGATGGCTTGAGCCCAGGAGTTTGAGGCTGCAGTGAGCTATGATTGTGCCACTGCACTCCAGCCTGGGCAACAAAGCAAGACCCTGTCTCTAAAAAAAATAAATAAATAAAAGTGTAAATAGGAAGCTATTTCAGTTTAATAGTTTAAGCTATTCAATTTGAAAATATGTAAATATTATTGGTATTTATCTTCTTGACTAAATATTCCTAATTCTCTTAAAAGATACCGTCTTTTGTTCCAACTGATGTGAAACACCTATTACTTTTCTCTGTAAAATGCACTTGTGCTTGAACAGTATTAATCATGATATGCTATATATATACTATACGTTTCATCTTAATTATCCTACATACTAATTACCAAAGAAAAAGAGGCTATGGTGATGT